CTGCAGTGGGAATCCAAGAACAGATTAATACTGTATATACAACAGAATCTAAAGGATGAAAAACAGCTTAAAGACCTTCAGGTGTGCTGAACAAGTATGGGATATTAAGGATCTTCTCTGCTTCCACACGTCCCTTCTTGTATTCTTCCACTGTCCTGTTGTCAATGGAAATGAATCTCAAACATGAATTTAAAGGGGGGAGAAGCTATCATGTTAAGGAACAAAGAACTAAACTGAATTTTGTTATGTTACCTGACATCAATATAAACATAACCAGACTGAATCAAGTGTTTTGTTTCAACAACATCAAGGGTAACGACTTGTGATCCCGAGCTGAGATATGAAAGAAGAAAAATAAAAGAAACAGCAAGGGAAGAAGACAACCAAAGAAACACCCATATCAAAATTTTGCACTTCTTTCAAGTAAAAACATCACCTTTTATCCAGAGAACCCCATGGAGACTCTTTATATGTTTTGCCTTAGCTGTTTTTTTCTCAGATCCTGTGGCTATTTCCTTGGTTTTCTCTTCTCGTTGAAGATAGAAAAATATGGGCTGGGATTTGCTCACCACTTTTGCTCAATTATGTAGGAAATGGAATGGTGAGTCAGGATAACGAGCTGTACCACTTTGGCATAATCAATCTACCCATGCTACCTGTAGGGCAAGGATCACCTGCATTCATGTTTTACGTGTGTTAGCTTTTATTTTGGCTTTGGGTTGAATGTCACCACCTTATTGTTTGAATAAAATGATTAAAAAATATTGTTGCTGACTATGAAAGAAAAGTGAAAATTAATAATAATAATAATAATAATAATAATAATAATAATAATAAATATTACGTCGATAAGTGATCAAAACAGAAATGAACTATAAAAACTAGGTGTAATTTTTTTTAAAAAAAAGTAGTTATATACTTAAAACATAAATGCATAAATAGATGAGTGACTAAATAGATAATTGAATCACGGTACTTCTAATGTAATAAAAATCGAGATCATTAAGGCAAAAATGCTTCATGGTTTGGAAGTTGTCATAAAGGAGAGACATCTGAACTTCACAAGAGAAGTCCAAATCGAACTAAAGGTGGTTCCCACGAATGTCTCGAAATCGATTCGACTCAATTTGAGACTTGCAGCTCTGACGATTCTAATATTTCCGAAAAGGTTGGAGTTGTGCATAATGGGGGAAAATCACCATCCTCTCACTCACTAAAAGATCAGCATAAGGTTCCCTGCCGAGCAAAATCACCAACCGGAGAAAAATGTTTTAGGCGGCTTCAGATGTAAAGATGGCTAGTTTCCTGGAGGAAATCAAGTTTAACAAGTGCAGCACACCTAGGAGTATAACCAATCTTCCCGTCTTAGATAGTTGTTTTATCTACCGATGAACAGTCTAATGTCATACCGATCTAGACCCGACCGAGTTAGTTCGACTACTCGACTTATGAAAAGATCCGACTAATATTTCGAAATTAAAAAATAATTTTTGACCAGCTTTTTACTTCACCTAAACTCAACCTGAAAATTAGAGCATTCCATTCACATCCAATTCGATCTAGATTTAAGACGGTTTCACGTAACTCGAAATTCGATTCAAATTTTTAGGTTTAAACATGTACACTACCCGACCTATATATTTGTTCATTTTATTAGGTTAAATAAATATTTAATTAAAAAATAAAAAATAAATAGTATTGTAATTATCTCTTAATATATAAATAATTATAATATTATATTAGATCGGGTTGTATCAAATTTGCCTTTCCAGTTTCATCATCTGTCCCATTGGCCCCTTTAAACGTGGACTTGCGACAACACCCTCGGAAATTTCCAAATCTCAGCTTGGTCCCCTCTTCTGCATTTGCATATTCAAGCGGTATTTTGCAGTAATATTTTAATTACAGGGGAAAAAAAAACAAGTAGCTTCGTCATTGAAACCGAAATATAAAAGATGTTTCATGTTCTGGCTCTCTGCCCCAAGTTGGTTCCACCATCACCAGTTCACCACCGAGTAAAGTAACCTAACGTTTTCATGTTCAGAGAAGTGAAGTGTTTAACTTGAGGAAAAAAGAAACTTTCTTTGCTGTGAAAGATGGCACCTTTGGGCTTTGAAGATGAATGAGCCTCCATTGGTGAAAGTTGCAGTGGTAAAAGCAACAGATCTTTTGACTAATAAGTAAATAACTCGCTAGTCTTTTTTTTTTAGTTAAGTTGCTTAAAAATTTCCGGGAAAAAATAGAGTTGATCTGTGGTAGAAAGGTCAGTACTGAGGAAGAAAAATGGGGTGCTGGTACTGGAGGATCGATAGAGAAGAGATTGTTTCGCGTTGCAAGGCGAGAAAGCGGAACATGAAACAGTTGGTTAAAGCTCGACAAGCTCTTGCTTCTTCACATTCTATGTATCTACGCTCTTTACGAGGCACAGGCTCAGCTCTCCTTCCATTTTCCAACAATGAAACTACTACTCCTCGCCTATACCACCATCACCATACACCTCCGCCGCCGCCTCAACAGCCGCCATTTCCACCGCCTCCGTCGATGAGTCTCGGTTCAGACACTTGGGCATCCACTACCACCGCCTCCGCTGCTCTTCCGCCTTCTCCTCCTCAGTCCAGTAACTGGGATTTCTGGGATCCGTTTGTTCCAGCTACGGAGTCACGTTTAGCCACGGAGGAAGAATGGGAGGCCGCCACGGTCACAGCTAATCCCCAACGATCAGGACTGCAAGCATGGCGGGTCCCCCTTCTGTGGTGAGTGGGTTCACGAAAGATACTGCAAGTGAGCTTGCTATGGTGGTGTCGAGGAATAGTAAAGAATTGGTGGAGATCGTGAAAGAGGTTGATGAGTATTTTCTCAAAGCTTCTGATGCTGGTAGCCAGCTCTCGTTGCTATTAGAAGTTTCAAATCCAAAGTTCCCTTCTCAAAGTAAATGAGTTAAATCTCTCTCTCTCTCTCTCTATTTTCTGGGTGGGGTCTCATTTGATTGTTCCTTGTTGTAGGTAAAGGGTATAACAATGGCACTGTTCTTAGCAGAAGCCATTCTTCTACCATAGAGAGATTGTATGCTTGGGAGAAGAAATTATACCAAGAGGTCAAGGTATTTTGTTCATCTGTGAAGAATGATATGACATTTTTGTAGGCAAAAGAGTGATTTATTTTTGTTGGTGGTTTTGTTTAGAATGCTGACTGTAAAGATGGAGCATGAGAAGAGAGTGGTCCAGCTGAGGAAGCTGGAGTTGAAGAGAGCTGAGTATTTGAAGACTGAGAAGACTAAGAAAGAGATTGAAAAATTAGAATCCCAAATGATGGTTGCTTCACAGGCCATTAAGACTATATCAACAGAAATCATACAATTAAGAGAGTCTGAGCTTTATCCTCAGCTCTTGGACCTTGTAAAAAAGGTTAGTCTTGCTTATTTATCATTCTGCTTCCATTTACTCGGTTTCTGTTTGATTCCGGCCAATATCCCTCACGTTTCCATCTGAATGTCTTGCATCATTTTCTAGTTCAGGGCAGAAGGTTTATCATACAGAAAAAGACAATTTTTGGGACCCTTAATTCTTGTAATCTGCATAGAAATAGTACTTAATGATGTTATTTCTTTTGCTTGTTGCAGATTGATGTGCATGTGGAGGAGCATGTATGAGATCCACCAAGTTCACACGCACATAGTTCAGCAGCTCAAGTACCTTAACTTTATACCTTCTAACGAGCCAACATCAGAGATTCTCAGGCAATCGACTCTACAGCTCGAGTTCGAAGTCCAGCAGTGGCATTCTTCTTTCTTTAACTTAGTCAAGGCTTAACGGGACTACATTCAGTCCCTCGCGGGCTGGTCCGGCTTAGTCTTTTCCAGTTCAGCAAAGATCCCCTTTTAAGAAACAGTGAAGAATCGAAAATTTACACGTTTTGTGAAGACTGGCATCTTGTAGTTGACAGAATTCCAGATAAGGTAGCATCCGAAGGAATCAAGAGCTTCTTGACCGTAATCCACACCATTGTGGTAAGCAAGCAAAAGAAGAAGGCTGATTCAACGAGTAAAGAATTTGAGAAGAAGACAGCCAAGCTTAGATCACTGGAAAGCAAGCATGGCTCTTCTTCCATGCCTGAAATGAGCAAATAACCCGGTTACAGAAAAACGAACAAAGGTCGAAATGTGGAGAGTGAAGGCAGAGGAGGAGAAGAATAAGAACGAGAAATCGGTGAGCGTGACTTTAAATGATGCTACCACTGATACCTGGTTTGGTACATTAATGCCATGCCACCTTGAATCTGTCTACAACCAAGCCAAGGCCATTGGTGAGGAGCATGATGTGAAGAGAATACTCCCTTGAGGAAAACAAAATGATGCTACCACTGATACCTGGTTTGGTACATTAATGCCACCTTGTTCGGTACTCGAATCAGAGTCTGAACTCCGGAGAAGCGATGCACAAGTGATTTTCGAGATGGTGTAGGAAGTAGGAAATTTTCCGGTCAAGTAGGAATTCTATACCATGTTTTGTTTGGTACATCAAAACCTTTTTCGTCTTCTGCCTTTTGAATCAAGAAATCAGCTTTTACATTCATTTAGTTGCTTTAATATATATATATATATATCATTCTGAGTGTTAATTTTTTTTGTCAAAATCGAAGACAAAGTTGTTTTACATAAATCTTAGGTTTCGATAGTTAATCTCAAACACTTCAATTTAAACTTTTAGATTTCATTAAATGAATTTTTTTTGTATGGATATAACATATCGATTTTAAAATTTAACAATAGGTAACTAAAACAAAAATATAATATAATATTAAATATTATTTTAAAAATAAAATAATTAGATGACTTAAATAAAAATAAAACATAAGAATAAATGGATGACCCAATAGATAATTTACCTCTTGCATGAAACCCGTTTCCTTCAAGCAGTGGTTTAGAATCCGAATGTCGCAAAACACCCGGCTCGGACCCGATCGGCCGTATGGTATGGCTTAAAAAGAAAATAGAAATGGCGGAAAGATATTATTGGTTGGTTAAGATCGGTTCGCTCAACGAACGCTTTCAAACGGTATAATTTCCCGTTCCAAACATTAAAAAAAACGAAAACAAACTCAAATCCAGGAAAACTTTCCCTTTTTCCCAGGGTTAGCTGATTCTCTAATTTCCTCCTTTGTTTTCAATCCATTTTCTTTAATTTCAACCTTGGTTCCCTTCGACCCTTTCTTTGTATTTCTTTAAGTCCCGTTCCAAACATTAAAAAAACACGAAAACAAACTCAATCCAGGAAAACTTTCCCTTTTTCCCAGGGTTAGCTGATTCTCTAATTTCCTCCTTTGTTTTCAATCCATTTTCTTTAATTTCAACCTTGGTTCCCTTCGACCCTTTCTTTGTATTTCTTTAAGTGTTATACCTAACTGGTGGGGATACGCAACGCAGGTGACTGGTTGAAGAAGAAAAGTGGTAATCGTGTGGAGTTTTCTTTAGGGGATCCAAGCTCTGTCCTCAGGTGTTAAGATCTGAGGCTATTCTTTTCTTTTGAGTGAAAAAAGGGAAAGAAAAGAAAATGAGTGCGGCAAGGTTTATAAAGTGCGTGACTGTTGGTGATGGTGCCGTTGGTAAAACTTGTTTGCTGATTTCTTACACAAGCAATACTTTTCCTACGGTAATTCTCTCCTCTTTTTCTTCTTCTCTTTTAAAGTATTTTTTAACATGAGGAAATTTTATGGATTGGTGAAGTGAAAGTAGGGTTTTTTGGGGGTTTAGTTTTCGAATTTGTTGTTTTGCTGTCCGATATGACTTTCATGAGGATTTACTGGTTGAAGACTAGTTTTAGTGTTTGTTGAGCTGATTTTATCAGTGAATTCGAGTTGGGAAAAGCTTATTAAAATTCTACACCTTTATGGGATACCATTGTCTGAAATTTGACAGATCAATTTGAAGGAAAGGGGAAATTATGATAATGGCTAATTTAATAAAAAAAATATGAACAATCACTTAAACGTTTCAATTGCTAAGTTTCAGGCCCTTTTTTTTTATCCTTTCTTTGTATATTTGGTCTTGATAAACATCAGAGGAGTTTCGACAGTTGGAGGCTGATACTAAGAATGCTTTTAAACTTTGTCTTACATTTTAATTGTGGTGGAAAACAGGACTACGTGCCCACTGTTTTTGACAATTTCAGTGCTAATGTTGTTGTCAATGGGAGTACTGTTAATCTGGGGTTGTGGGATACTGCAGGTACTTTGCACATGGACCTTCTGCTTTCTTTTTTTTCTCAAACTCATTGTTAGAACCATTGTAGAGACTAGAAATAAGGGTTTAAGTTTGCAATTTTGGGCTACAGGACAGGAAGATTATAACAGATTAAGACCTCTGAGTTATCGCGGAGCGGATGTGTTCATATTGGCATTTTCCCTCATTAGCAAGGCCAGTTATGAAAATGTCTCCAAAAAGGTTAGGTGTAGTTTTTTTTCTTTGAATTTCAAAATTCAAACATAGAGAAGTGGCGTGTACATAGACTTCAAATTTATTTATTGCTGATAATTATGTACTTGGTGTGTTTCCAGTGGATTCCAGAGTTAAAACATTATGCCCCTGGTGTTCCAATAATTCTTGTTGGAACTAAGCTTGGTAAGAACATCAAGTGCTGTAGCTGCAATTTTTAGTTCAAATAGCTACTTCCAAAACTCTGTCAGACAGTGCTCTCAATTGTGAAGTTTTAGACTTTAGACATTGATGCCATGGTTAGGTTAGGCTTTTAGTATTAGAATGATTCCCAATAGTTTTGCTTCTCGCTTTATGCTAGAAATTTTTAGTGAACCGTAAATGACTTAGCTGGATCCACACATGTATTGTGTTTATGTGTGAATTCTAGTGTTCATTTTCTTTTTCGTGTGTTTCCAAATGAACCAGATCTTCGGGACGATAAGCAGTTCTTTATCGCTCATCCTGGAGCTGTACCCATTTCTACGGCCCAGGTAAAGGATTTTGTTTTAGTTCAGACTTTTCCCGTTGTATGGACTTCTATGATTTGCAACTATCTAACCCTTACCTTTTTTTCTCCTGAAACTGTAAGGGAGAGGAACTGAGGAAGCAGATTGGTTCACCTGCTTATATTGAATGCAGTTCAAAAACGCAGGAGGTATGCGTTGTTTTGTAAATATGATCATATAATGGACTATGCTTTATGTTTAAGGGATTCATTGACTTCTCCGCAGAATGTGAAGGCAGTTTTTGATGCAGCCATCAGAGTTGTTCTTCAACCACCCAAGCAGAAGAAAAAGAAGAGCAAAGCACAGAAGGCCTGCTCCATATTGTAACTGGAAAAAAATGTGAAAAGATTACTAGAAGCCCCGGATCTCTGTGAAGTATCTGTTGGTGTAGCGTTTTACTGTATTGCAACTGTCGTGATATCGTATTGTTGAAACAAAGTACATGGATGCCATTCTTCTTTCGAATAGTTTTCAATATGCTTCTGTATTAATGCCACTGGAACATCCCGGTTAGGAAATTGCAGAGACAATTGTAAGATTATTGCTGTTGTATTGCTTTTAAGAAGGCTTGTGTGTTTGTGCTTAGTTTCTTGCGACATTGTTGTTTCTGATAATCTTTTCGTGACTCTTCACTCTTTGTTAATATTTGCTAATTTCTAAGTTTAAAGTATGATAATCAATGTTTTATAAATTAAATTAAAAGGACTAATTTTATAATCTTCATAATTGAAGGGATAAAATTCGTAATTAGACCTGAATAAAATATGAATTGTGAGCATAACCAAAAAGGACGGTGTAAATCTCATCGTATTAGACATCTCGAAAAGTCAAAGGCCATGATCAGAGTACAACATAGACATGCGTAGCACAAGATTACTCCGATCGAAATTGAGACAAAACGACCTCGATAACAATTAAGAAGCGTCTCCTAGTAAGAGAAAACGAGCAAATTAGGATTCAGAAAAGATCAAACAATAGGGACCGTAAAGATGATCGCAGACGGAGTCGAAGACGAAGAGAAATGGCTCGCCGCTGGCATCGCCGGCCTCCAACAGAACGCTTTCTACATGCATCGCGCTTTGGTAACTCTCTTCTCAATTACTTTTGGTGTACGCCTTACTTGGTTGAAGGGAAAGTGAGATTATCAGGGAAAATCCTTGCTTACTTTGAGATTGTTACTTAATTTGACCATAGAATCCCTAGCTTTTTGCAAGTTAGTGAAAATTTGGCACGATTTGTGATTTTTTTAGGATTCGAACGATCTCAGAGATGCTTTGAAGTACTCTGCTCAGATGTTATCAGAACTTCGAACCTCGCGGCTTTCCCCTCACAAATACTACGAATTATGTTAGCTCTTCTCTCCAAATCTGATCTCGATTTTGTATTAGATTCATGAACTGATTGGTAGATTTCGTTTTCAACTGAGGTCTTGAGTTTTTGGTTGATGGTTCAGATATGCGAGCATTTGATGAATTGAAGAAGGTGGAGATGTTTTTTAAGGAAGAGACAAGGCGTGGTTGCTCTATTGTTGATCTGTATGAGCTAGTGCAGCATGCTGGCAATATATTGCCTAGATTGTAAGTACAACTAACTTTCAAACTGTTTAATGTCTGCTTGCTCACTTCAGCTAGTGTACCCATAGGATGCAGGTTGTTATTTTCTTGTGTAATTCATTTCAGCAAGTGTATGCTGTGGATTTAAAGCAACTTTTCTGTGAGTTCTAGTATGGGAAATAGTTCTATTTTATTAAGGAAGTTTTCATGAACCCAGGCCCTAGATATATGTACTATTAGCGAGTGCATCCTGTTTGGTTCATCTGTAGGAGGTGTTACATGGTTACTTCTCGCACATATGTTGCATCGAATTATTTAACAGGAAAAGCATGTTCAATTAGCATAACTATTTAAATAACTTGCTTGAGCAATTTAGCTTGAGATACCTAAAATTGAGAACCTCTTGGATTAACTTACCTTTTAAATTTGTATTTAACATGTTAAGTTTTGTGATCTATGCCAGGTATCTCCTCTGTACCGTAGGCTCTGTTTATATCAAATCTAAGGAAGCTCCTGCTAAGGATGTTCTTAAAGATCTTGTTGAAATGTGCCGTGGAATTCAGCATCCGGTACATGGCCTCTTTCTTAGGAGTTACCTCGCTCAAGTTAGCAGGGATAAATTGCCTGACATAGGTTCTGAATATGAAGGGTGAGAAATCAAGTGTTCCATCACCCCCATTTTTGGGGAAAAAATTGATTTCAGTAGCTAATACTATATTTTGTTTCTAATTTATGTTTTTCCCAATATCTTCTATGTTTGAATCTTCATCTATATAAAAAAACGAAATTTGATTGTTATCATCTATCATTTATTCACTATTTTATGCTGTCATGCTACTTCTTTCACTTGACATATGAGAGCACCAAATTGATTAAGCAAATTATTGATCATGTCAATCCTGCTGTGATTTTGGTTATGATCTGATCAAATCATTGGTTAATAGTTAAGTAATCCTTTTTTCAACCTTTAAGCTGGTTCTGTGTTGAGATTGCCTGACCAGTTGTAAACTTTCTTGATTCCTTCAGGGATGCAGACACTGTAGTTGATGCTGTGGAATTTGTGCTTCAAAACTTTACAGAGATGAACAAGCTGTGGGTGCGGATGCAGCATCAGGTTAGTTGACTTAAATATCAATGGTCTATTCCTGCTCACATGTTTGGGATGCATGTATCACAAAAATGCTTGCATGATATGGAGGTAAAACTATACCATGAGGGCATGATTTCTGGTCACGCAGGTGTTATAGTGCTTGTCAATCATTCATTCTCTTTGCTGATCCTGAATTGAGGCTTGCTGTCGGGCTTTCTGGTCTGCAGGGACCTGCCCGAGAAAAGGAGAAACGAGAGAAGGAAAGGAGCGAGCTAAGAGATCTTGTAATATCTGTGACCCAAATCTTGTAAATTTCACTGCAATAATGTTGAGTACCAGTTGAAGGATGCTTACGGACGGTTTTTCCTTTCCCTTGCTTGCTCTTTGATTAGGTTGGGAAGAATCTTCATGTGCTCAGTCAGATAGAAGGTATTGACCTTGATATGTACAAAGACACTGTTCTTCCTCGTGTACTTGAACAGGTTGGTGTTGTGCGCATCAACAAATGAAGTCAGTCTAATTTCCACGTTCTGTCTTGGAGCTTATAATATGTAACTTTTGCTGCCTAACCATCAAGCATTGGTTGCCTAAAATATATTGACAGGTTGTCAATTGTAAAGATGAGATAGCTCAATATACTATCTAATGGATTGCATAATTCAAGTCTTTCCTGATGAATACCACTTGCAAACTCTTGATATACTGTTGGGTGCTTTCCCACAACTTCAGGTGTGTCATGAATATGTGCTTCTGTTATTGTCTTTAGTTCCTTGAGCTTCCTCATAATTTGCATAACTAAATATTTCTTCTTGTTCCTGGTGTGTGGATCAACATGGATATATGTATTATAGCTTAATATTTATGATATAAAGCAGCAACTTAAGCACACCCTATAAGTTTTGAACTCTTTTCTTCCTTTTGTTTTTTCAGCCAGCTGTTGACATTAAAACTGTGCTATCCCGATTAATGGAAAGGCTATCAAATTATGCTGCTTCAAGTGCAGATGTGTTGCCTGAGTTCCTGCAAGTAGAAGCTTTTGCAAAGTTGAATTATGCCATTGGAAAGGTAAATTTGTTTGCATAGATAATTCTTAGCTTAACCTACACCAATGTCCTAAATAGTTTGTCTTATTCTATCCTACGATGCAGGTGATTGAAGCACAGCCTGATATGCATATCCTTGGTGTTATAACTTTATATTCATCTCTTCTTACATTTACTCTCCATGTTCATCCAGACCGGCTTGATTATGCTGATCAAGTTTTGGTAAGCTACTGTCTTAAAACTATATCATATATATTCACATAAGGTTTACTATTTTATTATAAACCATGATCCATTAGTGCACAAAATCAAGTATGTTTCCCAAATGTAAAATTATTAAGTTATGCCCATGCAATTGAATTTTCGTGCTGTGGTGCACTGCTTACCATATTGCTTTGTGTTATAAAGAGAAAGCTATGTGATCATTTGTTCCTACTGCCATTTGTTTTCACAGAAAATAGAAATCAACAAAGAGGTAACTTGACCTTGTTCTTATTCAGGGAGCATGTGTTAAAAAACTCTCTAGCAAAGGAAAGCTTGAAGACAACAAAGTAACAAAACAGATTGTTGCGCTCTTGAGTGCTCCACTTGACAAATATAATGACATTGTTACAGCATTGAAGCTTTCAAATTATCCTCGTGTTTTAGATTACCTTGACAGTGAAACAAATAAAGTCATGGCAACTGTGATAATTCAAAGCATTATGAAGAACAAAACTCGTATCTCTACTGCTGACAGAGTATGTTTGTAATTACATTGTTTACCTATTCTATTCGAGCTTGCTTTTTAGTTGAAAGGGTGTCTTGATCTTGTTACTTTATGTGACAGGTTGAGGCGTTGTTTGAATTGATAAAAGGTCTTATCCAGGATCTGGATGGTGCTGCTCATGATGAGGTTGTTATGCTTTATTCATCTTCATATGCATAGTTTTAAATGTTTATTGGTGTTCATCAATATGCACGACAATTGTTCAATCTCACATTTAGGTCGATGAAGATGACTTCAAGGAGGAACAAAATTCTGTAGCACGTCTTATTCAGTTGTTGCATAATGATGACCCTGAAGAGATGTTTAAGGTACATGATTGGGTGAAAGCATTTTTGTTTTCAAAGCACTATTGATGAGGTTCATATTAGTTAGTCATATAGGTCAAGTGCATCTACTGGGGTTTTCTCATGAACCTTTTTATTTGTGCATTCAATTTGATAATTTGCAGATAATATGCACGGTGAGAAAGCATATCTTGGGTGGAGGACCAAAACGCCTACCCTTCACTGTCCCTCCCCTTGTTTTCTCTTCACTTAAGGTTTGTTTCTATTTTGTGTGTTTGGCTATAGAATTCTATGACATTAAAAATGAAGACTGAACAAATGTTCTTGTTGATATCTAAGCAGATAATGGCATGTTTTTGGGTATATAATGCCAGCTTTGTGACTTATCATTGTTGCACTCAAATAAGATTTTAAGAATTTGTCTAATGAAATGGATCTCCTACAAAGAATAAAAATTTCGAATTAGAAATTAGAAATGGAAATTCTATCTTTAACTATTTTGCAATTGTGAATATCCTTACAGTTTCTATCTTTAAATCCTGAACTATTAGAATAGAAAAATTATCCCCCCCCCGGGGCTACTTTTTCCAGTTCCGTAGCCTGAACTGCAGTTAACATGAAT